AAGACCTGACAGATCCCGTCCGCTGCAACTCCATCGAAGAGATCCGCGCCCTTCGCGAAGCGCACCAACAGTTCCAACAGAGTCTTAGCGGCGCTCAGAATGACTTCGAAGTGTTGGCCCAATTGGACCGACAGATCAAGAACTTCAACGTCGGTCCCAATCCGTACACGTGGTTCACAATGGAGGCGTTGGAAGACACGTGGCGTAACCTCCAGAAGATTATTCAGGAGCGCGACGTAGAGTTGGCCAAAGAGTATCAGAGACAGGAGGAGAACGATCGGCTCCGACGCGAGTTCGCTAAATACGCCAACGCTTTCCACCACTGGATTACGGAAACCCGGTATGTGCTCACTGTGTGGCCAAACACACCATCATTTGAATGAATTTTTTAAGACCCCTTTTGCACCCCACGTGTGCTGTGATATCAACAAATGCCCTCATATTACAAGCGGTTATGCTTTTAATACTGTATTACAGTTACACTAAATTCTCGATATAATGTAAATTGAATTTTTGCGATATACACGTATATTTATTTATATCGGGAGTTTATTGTATTGAATTAATTATTAGTTTACAATAATTTAGTTATTTTTGCTGAAAATTAATGATTTTTTACTAATGTTTTGTGATTTGATTTTTTGATTGCGTGTGAATTCACTCGACCCTAATATCTACTGCCATGGGTAAGTGTGGTTTGAGCGCTAAATATATATAATACGACACTAAAACACTGGACAATAACATCCCGGCGCCGCCCATACAATACTATTGACATCCAACAGAATGTGGCTCTTAGACGGGTTAATATTATTATATAATACATTGATTTTGATTTGAATTTGATTGCAATTAATTTTTATTGTTTTATTGAATTGAAGTTTTTTTATTTATTTAATAAACTATAAATTGCTTGACTTTAATCTCTATAATACTACTAACCTATAGCTCCTCAATGATGGAGGGCTCGGGCACTTTGGAGGCCCAGTTGGACGCCACCCGTCGAAAGGCTGCGGACGTTAGGGCCAAACGATCCGATCTGAAAAAGATCGAGGACTTGGGCGCCACTTTGGAGGAGCACTTGATTCTGGACAACCGCTATACCGAGCACTCGACTGTAGGATTGGCGCAACAGTGGGACCAATTGGATCAGTTGGGAATGAGAATGCAGCACAATCTGGAGCAACAGATTCAGGCCCGCAATCAGTCCGGTGTGAGCGAAGACGCGCTCAAAGAGTTCTCAATGATGTTTAAGCACTTCGACAAAGACAAGAGCGGACGCCTCAACCACCAGGAGTTCAAGTCCTGTCTGCGAGCCCTCGGCTACGACTTGCCAATGGTAGAGGAGGGACAGCCCGACCCCGAGTTTGAACAGATACTCAATGTCGTGGACCCCAATCGAGACGGTTATGTCTCTCTACAGGAATACATGGCGTTTATGATCAGTAGAGAGACGGAGAACGTGACCACCAGTGAAGAGATTGAGAACGCCTTCCGCGCCATCGCCGCCAATGAGAGGGCGTACGTGACCGCAGACGACCTCTACCAGAATCTGACCAAAGAGATGGCCGAGTATTGTATGCGACGAATGAAGAAATACGTGGACCCGAAGACTGGCCGCGAAGTACCCAATGGTTACGACTATATCGACTTCACGCATACATTATTCCAGAATTGATTTTAAATATTCCTCTATATATTTAACGCAACATTTTTTTGTTTAGTTTTTATATTTAAAACGAATAGTTTTTATTTAGTAGTGTTATTGATAATCAAATCTAAACATATTTTGCACTCAACTATCCATTAAATATACGCTATATTTATGGCCACCGGTTAGGGATAATATAACGGCTGCTATATATTTAAAATGATAAATCACTTAATATTTACATTTACAAAGAGCTTTATTATGTTTTTAATCGCTATTTATTTAAAAATAACTAAATCATGAAATCAAATGATTTTATAGTGAGTTTTATTTACAATATATTTTAGTTTGCATTTTATTTTTCCGACTATTTTTGTGTTTTAATTGTTTGATTAGTTTATGACTTAATTTTTGAAATTATGTTTACATTAAAAATTATGATTTGATTGAAGGAAATGATTGACAGCTATATTGTAACGATTGTTTGCCGCTATTATTTCACTGTAAAATCTAATCTCTCCTAAAATACTGCCTATAATTATGTGATTTACGATTAATTACGCGAAATATAATTAATAAAATGCTGTGAAATTCAAAATCAAAACATTAGTTGAATTTTATTTGAAATTTTGGTTTAAAAATGAAGAATATTCTGCAAAAACTAAACTATAATAACCGGTTATTGGGAAACGAGTGGACTCTACAGTACATTGGGATATCTTTGGTTTGGTTTATTGTTGCCTATACGGTGTTCACTATACAGGAGTTCACTATCAAGTGATAACAAAATGTTTTTAATTTAATTGATTGAACGCCGGCTTCAGTAATGGTAATGCAGTAATAGTGTAGTGACTGTTAACACCTCTACTCTCACAACATTAATAGCCAAACAAATAATAAATAAACAAAATATTTGTGTAAAAGAAATGCTGTTTTGAATGTGTTTTGGGATTAAATTGTTTTGAGAAAAGTCTAAAACATTAATTGATTAGAATTTAGGGCCAAATGTTTGTCACAAAAGTACTGATCATTAAGTCATGCATTTATACGACAAGACTCGCCACAAGACACCACTCGATGTGTCAACTGATGGCCAGAAATCTGTCCCAAAGCCCTAATAGCGATGATAAACAAAAGGTATATCCCATTCACGCCCAACCTTTACACCCCTCCCAACGCCTCCCAACAGCCTTCAATAACCCCCACTTATCAGCCCCTCCAGTCATCCCATTGCCTGTCTATAGGGCTATAACTTTAACCATATATTAATTGTTTGCATTGTTTTGTTGTCATAGCAATCAAGTCGTGAACATTTAAACGCTGTTTACCGACAACTGTCCGAATCGGTAAGTGATGTATTGATCACATAGACTGACCACATGTTCGGGAATGGCCTCATTGTTTCCCGGATTAAATGTGCACCAGTGCACCATGGTCAGGTCTCTATTAAATATTTTTGAACATTGAATCCAATGGAGGTCTTCCGCCAAAACATCTTCAATTTAATTACAAATTCAAGAGTTTTTTTAGACCACATTTATGTCCGAAATCCAGGATTTTCCCTAAATATATGGTCAGTCTATTTGTCACCCGTTTTATGGCCAGTTTAGTTGCCGTACACTCTATGGCCTAACACTATGTAAATCATGATGTAATGCAATCCTTTGATTACATCACAACCGATGATTGCACTTAAGTCTTATAGTTTGCGTATACTTTAGAGATAGTCTTAAATCAAATTATTGTATTGTTTACTAAACTAATGTCACGAATGATTGGTTTCCAATTTATAATCTCTCTCTCTCTCTCTCTCTCTCTCTCTCTCTCTCTCTCTCTCTCTCTCTCTNCTCTCTCTCTCTCTCTCTCTCTCTCTCTCTCTTTCTTTCTTTCTCTCTCTAACACCTAATCTAATGGCAATTCCATGGTATGGGAACAGTTGCCACAGTTTTTCTCTTCCCGTCATTGTTATCAAATATATTCACCGAAAGTGGTCTTCGAGGACAACATAAGACACGTAAAGACCATTGGATTAAACGATTACATCAAACAGTTGTCGTTCATTATATTCTGGGCTCATATCAAGTATAGCTATAAGGCGTTGGAAGTGTTGAAAATTACGGAACATCCGGAGGACATGACAGTGCGGGTCAGGTGGCGAGTGGTCGGCACTCCTGGCTTTGGCGTTATGTTGATGTTCTGGAAGTATTCCTTTTGGGGCCGAACTAAGAATCAGAGCAAAGACAGATCAGAGTATTGTCTTAGTAATTGTTGTTTCAATTTATGTTATTTAACCATATTTTGTCTTAACTGTTCATCAGATGGACGGATGGCTTCTCGATATTTTCTGTTGGCGCCGACGGTCTCGTCCACAAACATACCGTTGAAAAAGTAATTAAATGATTCTCTCTCTCTCTCTCTCTCTCTCTATTAATTATTCATTTATCATATAATTAACAAATATCTGATCCAATGGACAGATAATGCCGGATGAGGACCGACAGCCATCGAAGTCCAATATAGCCGATGCTAAGAATTTGGCATTTATTGTAGGATTTGTGCCACAAGTGTCTCAATTCGATATTAATTATCAGCAATTGTTGTCTAAACTGTTAGAACTGACGACAAAGTGTTCTTTTGGTTGAGATTATTTTCATGAATTTTAATTAGTTTATAAATAATTGCATGAATTTTTTAATGCATTTGAATGTATAAAATGTTTATTTGAATTATGTTTGTGTTTGCGTTCATTGAAACAGAATTAGCGACTATTTTTGAATTAATTTGTAATTTATAATTATTATTGCCTTAATTTAAGCTTTAAATAGACTATTAAAATAAACTAGTTTTTAAAAATTAAAGATAATATGTCTTAATTTTTGCCAATAAATATTTGATCACTTATTATTCAAATATTAATTAAATAATTATTATTATTTGACAAATAAATAATCCGATAACAGATTTAATTAATAGCATAAAAACAATTTTCCAAAACAAGCAATAAATATCAAAAATTTCATTTTAATTACAAACAAAAGCCTGAATTTCACTGAATTTCACGAATTTCACTGAATAATAATGACTCTGAAGTTCTGTATTGTTTGTACACTATTGAGAGCATTAACCATGAGTTAAATTTAGATGTCATTGCCTAACTATGCAATTCTACTTATACTGTGTACTTAAT